GTGGCTGGGGCATAGAGTCCAGTTACAGCTGCCTAAGTCCAACTCCCCAAGAGGAGAAAAGCCTGTGCAGGTCCCTTTTGCTGGCAGACCCTGGGCAGGTTTGAAGAGTCCACTTGCCAGCACTATTCCTAAGAGACAGGAAGATGGGTGGCTTGAATTGGGCTTTCTACTAGCCATTTTCCCAGGACTGACTTACTATAGGACAGTGGGTATTTTGAAGGGAGGAGAATATCCCTGCCATGATATATACAGCCTGGCTTATTATCGTGTTTGAGTACTGACTCCTCCTTTTGTTGGAGTGTAACTGGATGTTTGGAGGTGTAACCAAGAGGCAGTCAGAAAAGTATTTCAAATTACTTTAAGTGTGCTCCCGCTGATGGAAGCACTGGGACCAGGGAGGCTTGACGTTCCTCTTTCTGCAGACTTGGTGATAGGCATTTTGTATTCAGTTTACAAAACTAAAGAGTATTGTCATGTTAACACTGAATAAATGCCTTAAAAAGTTTTTTCAATAGGGGAGAGACTTCTGGTATGGCCAGAGAAACTTCTTAATTTTCTTCCTCTGTTGCCTTGAAAAGAATTTATGAACTTATCCCTACCTAAACAGCCTGATTTTCAGGTAAATCATAGCAGAACATTCCAGTACATTAGAAAATATAAAAGTTAAAAAGGTACAGATAAATTTAATAAATTTGAAAAGGTATTATTCTGAATTTAGTAATAAGAATTCAAGGATGTTGGTCAACTTCACACAACAAATGCAGGTTAAAAATTAAACTGGAATAGTTATGGAAAATGGGGGAAAGTATAATCTATCAAGAGATAAATTAGGAATTTTGTTTCAAAATTATATATGGCAGAGAATTATCATTAGACAAATTATATCATGTATAGAGAAAAATATTGGGGGAAAGCTACAACAGATGGATATAGACATAATGGAACAAACAATCAAAGAGGAAGAAATAGAAGAAAGCATTAATGAGCTGAAAATAAGGAAATCACCTGGGATGGATGAATTAGAACCAGAATACTATAAAGCTTTTTGAAGATTTTTAATACCAACATTAAATGCACTGTCTAATAAAATATTAAAAGAAATAAATATGCCAGCATCTTGGAAATATTCTACAATAATTCTGATGGAATAATTCTTACAGACCTTTATTGTTGATAAATCAAGATGCAAAATTTTTATAGCAATATTGGCAAACAGAATGAATAAATTTACTGAATCAAATTGGATCAAAGTAACTTTATAGTAGCGAGACAGATAGCACATATGACCAGAAGAGTTTTGAATATATTAGAAGAAATAGGCAAAGGAAAATGCAAAACTGATCTCATAGCCCAAGATTACTTTCAAGCTTTTGATTACATGGAATGGCCAACAATAAAGATATTAATACAAACATTAGGATTTGGAAAATGATTTAAAGGTGTAATAGAACAACTATACTCAGCAAATATTCCTAGGCCGAGGTACTAGACAAGGATGACATAGAATCATAGAATAGTAGTGTTGGAAGGGGCCAAGAAGGCCATCGGTCCAACCCCCTGCTGTTGCAGGACACTGATTTACACCATCTCACTCAGATGGTTATCCAGTTTCTTTTTCAATGACTTTACTGTGGGAGAGCCCACCGAGTGGGGAGATGGCCACGATCACAGTTGCTTTCATGCAGGGAAGGCGTGTGTGATCAGAGGCATGCTGCTACAGGAAAGACGGGAGCAGCAAAGCAGGGCTGCAGGTGAGATGGCCGAGATTCCGCCTGTCTTTCCTGTGGGAGCACACCTCTGAACAGGCACGCCTTCCCTGCATGAACAGAACTGAGATCATGGCCATCTCCCCACCCCACCCGAGTGGGGAGATGGCCATGATCGTGCTGGGAGTGGGGGGGAGATGGCCAAGATCGCGCCCATTTCTCCCTCCCCCAGCATGCTGTTTGCGCCCGTCTCTTCCTCCCCCAGTGTGCCCATGAACATGCACGTCTCTCCCCCCCACCCCCCAGTGTGCTGGGATGATAGGTGCGTGCCAAGATGATGGGTGTGTACAGGGATGATGGGTGCGATCTCGGCCGTGCTGGGGCGGGTGGGGAGATGGCCGCACTTGTGCTTGGGGTGTGGGGGATGGAGATGGCCATGACCTTTGTTGTTGTCACTTTGCTTCACATTTTTCTGATTTAAAAAATGGTTACATAACAGATTAACCTTATTTACATTGAACCTTATGGGGAAATATAATTTGGGTCACGACCAGAGTCCTGGAACAGATTAAGTTCGTGAGCCAAGGTACCACTGTATTAGCAAACACTGATAATACAGTAGAAGGCATAGGTTTCAAAAAAGGAATTAAAATCAGCTTATTTGCTAATAATAAGGGATCTATTAGAAGCTATAGATCAGGTTATATTACATTTGGAAAAATTTAAAGAGATAGTGGGTTTAAGAATAAACCAGAATAAACTGGAGATGATGTTTTAACAGTGAGCATGAAGAGAAAAAAAAATTAGGAGTAAATTTAAGCTTAAGATATCTAGTGTAATTTAGTGTTTAGGCATCAATATTACTAAAAAGATAGAATGCTTAAAAAAAAGTTATTTTGAAAAGTTGAAAAACAAAATAAAAGAGAAAATGACTGAATTCAGGAAAATTGGATTATCTTCGTGTGGTAGAATAGCACTATGTGAAATGAAAATATTGCCTAAGATTTTTTTATTTATGATGTTACTGATTAAGATAATAGATGATTTAAAAGAATGGCAAGATATGATTAATAAGTTTTATAAGGATAAAAACATGATGATGGATTAAAAAAAGAATGGTATAGATCTCTAAAGATAGGGGGATTGAGAATCCCTAATGTATGCCTGGAGACACAAAAATTCAATTTCTGCCAAGTATACTTTTTACTCAAATAGAAACATGTCATGGTCTAGAATTGATATGATTTGAATAACCCCAGACTAAGTTCCAGACTTGTTAGAAGCTGAAATAGATACAAATTTCTGGGCTGATCATAATCCTGTAACCATGACACTGAAAGGGACAACAAAAACACCCAGATGGGTACTTAACAAATCTCTCTTAAGATAAAAAGTTTAAAGAAGAAATAACTAAGGAAATGGATTTTTTTTTTTTCAAGCCAATAAAGCTGAAGAAACCTCTTTGCAAAATGTTTGGGACACAGCTAAAGCCTATGTTAGAGGTCTGATAATAACATACTCCTCCTTCATGGATCACTGCCTTGCCGTGGTGAAGGGGCTTGCATAGCTCAATGAAGCTATGAGCTATGCCGTGCAGGGCCACCCAAGATGGACAGGTCATAGCAGACAGCTCTGACAAAACGTGATCCATTGGAGAAGGAAATGGCAACCCACTCCAGTATCCTTGCCATAAAAACCCCATGGACAGTACCAAAAGGCAAAAAGAGATGACGCTGGAAGATGAGCCCCTCAGGTCGGAAGGTGTCCATTATGCTACTGGGGAAGAGCAGAGGGCTAGTACTAGTAGCGCCAGAAAGAATGAAGCAACTGGGTCAAAGCTGAAAGGACACTCAGTTGCAGATGTATCTGGTGGTGAAAGGAGAGTCCGATGCTGTAAAGATCTATACTCCATAGGAACCTGGAATGTAAGATCCATGAATCAAGGCAAGCTGGATGTGGTCTAACAAGAGATGACAAGACTGAACATCGACATCTTAGGAATCAGTGAACTAAAATGGACAGGAATGGGTGAATTTAATTCAGATGACCATCAGGTATACTACTGCAGGCAAGAATCCCTCAGAAGAAATGGAGTAGCCTTCATAGTCAATAAAAGAGTAGGAAAAGCAGTACTGGGATACAATCTCCAAAATGACAGAATGATCTCAGTTCAAATCCAAGGCAAACCATTCAACATCACAGTAGTCCAAGTCCAAGTCTATGCCCCAACCACTGGTGCTTAAGAGGCTTAAGTTGACTGGTTCTATGAAGGCCTACAACACCTTCTAGAATTAACACCCAAAAATGATGTCCTTATCATCATGGGGGATTGGAATGCTAAAGTAGGAAGTCAAAAGATAACCGGAATAACAGGCAAGTTTGGCTTGGAGTACAAAATGAAGCAGGACACAGGCTGGTAGAATTTTGTCAAGAGAATACGTTGGTCATAGCAACCCAAGAGATGACTCTACACATGGACATCACCAGACGGTCAACACAGAAATCAGATTGACTATGTGCTCTGCAGCCAAAGATGGAGAAGCTCTATACAGTCAGTAAAAACTAGACCAGAAGCTGACTGTGGTTCAGATCATGAGCTTCAGGTTGCAAAATTTAGGCTTAAACTGAAGAAAAGTAGGGAAAAGTACTAGGCCACTCAGGTTTGACCTAAATCATATCCCTGATGAATATACAGTAGAGGTGACAAATAGATTTAAGGAATTAGATCTGATAGACAGAGTGCCTGAAGAACTATAGACAGAGGTTTGCAACATTGTGCAAGAGGTAGCGACTAAAACCATCCCAAAGAAAAAGAAATGCAAGAAAGCAAAATGGCTGTCTGAGGAAGCTTTACAAATAGCTGAGGAAAGAAGGGAAGCGAAAGGCAAGGAAGGAGAAGAAAGACACACCCAATTGAATGCAGAATTCCAGAGAATAGCTAAAAGAGATAAGAATGCCTTCTTAAATTAACAGTGCAAAAAAATAGAAGAAAACAATAGAACTGCGCAGACCAGAGATCTCTTCAAGAAAATTGGAGATATGAAGGGAATGTTTCATGCAAAGATGGGCATGATAAAGGACCAAAATGGCAGGGAGCTAACAGCGGCAGAAGAGATTAAGAAGAGATGCCAAGATTACACAGAGGAACTATACAAGAAAGAGCTTAACAACCCTGATAACCATGATGGGGTGGTCACTGACCTCAAGCCAGACATCCTGGAATGTGAAGTCAGATGGGCCTTAGGAAGTCTGAGCAACAACAAAGCTAGTGGCAGTGACAGTATTCCAGCTGAGCTATTCAAAATCTTAAAAGACGATGCAGTTAAAGTGCTACACTCAATATGCCACAAATTTGGAAAACTCAGCAGTGGCCACAGGATTGGAAAAGGTCAGTTTACATCCCCATCCCAAAGAAGGGCAATGCCAAAGAATGTTCAAACTACCACACCATTGCACTCATTTCACATGCTAGCAAAGTTATGCTCAAAATCCTACAAGCTAGGCTTCAGCAGTATGTGGACCAAGAACTACCAGGAGTACAAGCAGGGTTTAGAAAAGGCAGAGGAACTAGAAATCAAATTGTCAACATACGCTGGAACATGGAAAAAGCTAGGGAGTTCCAGAAAAGCATCTACTTCTGCTTCATTGACTACACTAAAGCCTTTGATTGTGTGGATCACAAAAATTGTGGCAAGTTCTTAAAGAGATGGGAGTACCTGACCATCTTATTTCTCTCTTGAGAAACTTATATGCAGGTCAAGAAGCAACAGTGAGAACTGGGCACGGAACCACTGATTGGTTCAAAATTGAGAAAGGAGTTCGGCAAGGCTGTATACTGTCGGCCTGCCTATTTAACTTCTATGCAGAGCGCATCATGAGAAAGGCGGGCCTAGATGAACCAACAGCTGGAATTAAGATTGCTGGGAGAAATATCAACAACCTCAGATATGCAGATGATACCACACTAATGTTAGAAAGTGAAGAGGAACCAAAGAACCTCTTGATGCGGGTGAAGGAGGAGAGTGCAAAAGTTGGCTTGAAACTCAACATGAAGAAAACTAAGATCATGGCATCTGGTCCTCTCACTTCCTGGCAAATAGATGGGGAAGAAATGGAGGCAGTGACAGATTTTATTTTCCTGGGCTCCAAGATCACCGCAGACGGGGACTGCAGCCAAGTAATTAAAAGACGCTTGCTCCTTGGGAGGAAAGCTATGGCAAATCTACATAGCATACTAAAAAGCAGAGACATCACCCTGCCAACAAAAGTCCGTATAGTCAAGGCTATGGTTTTCCCTGTTGCAATGTATGGCTGTGAAAGTTGGACCATAAGGAAGGCTGAGCTCCGAAGAATTGAGGCCTTTGAATTGTGGTGCTGACAGAGACTCCTGCGAGTCCCTTGGACAGCAAGGCGATCAAACCAGTCAGTCCTAGAGGAGATCAACCCTGACTGCTCTTTAGAAGGCCAGATCCTGAAGATGAAACTCAAATACTTTGGCCACCTAATGAGAAGGAAGGACTCCCTGGAGAAGAGCCTAATGCTGGGAACAATAGATGGCAAAAGAAGAATGGGACGGCAGAGAATGAGGTGGTTAGATGGAGTCACTGAAGCAGTTGGTGTGAGTTTGAGGGGACTCCGGGGGATGGTGGAGGACAGGAAGGCCTGGAGGAATGTTGTCCAAGGGGTCGCGATGGGTCGGACACGACTTCACGACTAACAACAAAATAACATACTCAGCAAAAATAAATAAAAAGAGAAAGCAGGAACGATCTAAACTAGTAGAGGAATTGGCAAAGCTCGAACATGAGCTTCAGGAAGATCCAACCAAAAAAGACCTTAAGACACAAATGAATATTTTAAAACACAAACTGAACATCTTAGACACAAATGAACTTACCAAGCAAATGAAACTGACTAAACAGAACTTTTTTGAAAATGCTAACAAACCAGGGATATGGTTAGCTTATAAACTAAAGGAAAGAGAAAAGAGATTAATATATAAATCGAAGGATGGAGAAGGACAACTGCAGGAACAAAGTATGTTAATTAAGAAAATAGTGGAAGACGTTTTTGTGAAGCTGTACCAGAATAAATTCCAACTAAGAAAGTTAATAAGTATGTTCAAAAGGGAAATTTACCAAAGTTGTCGGAGAAATACCAAAATATATTAAATGAGGAAATAACAATGACAGAAGTAACTGAGGCTATCAAGAGATAAAAGAACAAAACCCCAAAAGCTTTTGAAGGAATCTTGTCTATGCCTTTTAAGGATATATGTAACGCAGTATTGTCAGATGCTAAAATACCGAATACCTGAACCGAGGCAAATATTGCCTTAATACCGAAAGAAGATATGGACTTGACACAGATTCAGAATTATAGACCTATAGCACTTCTAAATGTGGATTACAAAATCTTTGCCTCTGTAATGGCAGAAAGACTGAAGAAGTATTTAACAGACTTTATATATTCAGATCAAAATGGCTTTTTACCTAAAAGACAAATGAGGAATAATATGAGATTTAGTTTGGATATTTTAGAGCAGGGGTATCAAACGCAACTTACCCAGAGGCCGCTGGAAGTAGAGTCTGGGTGAGGCTGGGCCGCATCAAGTATTCCACCACCGCGGTGGTGGAGGGCCACTCATCCCACGGCCGGCCCGGGTGCCGCCGACGCTTTGAAGGCCGCAGGGCCCCTCCCCCATGCCCCGCCCGTCCCGGCAATTGGCCTGCGGGCCACGAGTTTGAGACCTCTGTTTTAGAGTATTATGAGGTTCACTCTGAAAAACCAATGGCATTGTTTTTCTTGGATGCACAGAAGGCCTTTGACAATGTTAACTGGCAATTCATGAAACAACAACTTGCACAAATGGAATTTGGTGAAAAATTTATTAATGCAATATCAAGCATTTATCAAAAATAGACTGCCAGGATTATACTTAATGGAGAACTTACAAATATTATAGATATTCAAAAGGGCACAAGACAAGGATGTCCTTTATCACATTGTTATTTATATTGATTTTAGAAGTGCTAAACAGAAGTATTAGAGAAGATATGGATATTAAAGGTGCTAGAATTACAGATGAAAGCTATAAACTAAAAGCATTTGCAAATGATTTAGTTTTTATTCTTGAGGAACCCTTGGTAACAATGTCTAAGCTTCTACAAAAGATAGAAGAGTATGGTGAAGTTACCAGGATGAAAATAAATAAGAGAAAAGACAAAATTGCTAGTGAAAAATCTCACATTGGAGCAGAGAAAAACTCTGATGAAACAAGTAGATCTTCAAATTGTTAAAAAGGTTAAATATTTGGGAATTTTCCTTACAGCTAAATGTACTACATTGAAAGAAGATAATTATGATAAACTACTTAAGGAAATTAAGAGTGACCTGGAAAAATTGGCTAATTTGCAACTATTGTTGTTGGGAAGAATAGCAATAGTTGAAAATAAAAACTTTGGTAATATATTCATTTTATTTCAAACAATTCCCATAAATATTGAAAAAAAAATTTTTTTGATGCTCTAAACACCCAAATTTCGAGATTTGTATAGAAAAAGAAACCAAGGATTAAATTAAAAATGCTTCAAGGAGGCCAAAGGGAATGGGGGCTTTGGCCTTCCTGATTGGATGTTGTACTATCAAGTTTCTGTCTTAACATGGCTAAAAGAATGGATAACTTTAAGAAATAAGAGAATCCTTTATCTTGAAGGGCATGATTTGCAAATGGGTTGGCATGCTTATATGTGGTATGAGAAGTGTAGGGCACATGGTTGTTTTTTAAATCATTATATTAGAAAGTCATTAATGTTGGTGTGGGAAAAACTAAAGACAAAACTACACTAAATTACCAACATGGCTTTCACCTATGGAAGCTCTTGTATATCCAAATGCATTGAATTTTGACATGATTGTGAGATATGATGATATTCTGGATAATGATGGAGGATTGAAACCGAACCAAGAACTACAAGAGCAGAGAATTAATATCTCTTGGTGGCATAAGGTTCAAATACAATCAAGATATGTTAAAGATTATAAAATGTGGGATTTTTATAAGGAGTTAACATTTGACCAAGTGATCTTAAAATCAGATGAGAAAATTATTAAAAGACTGTATAATTTTGGATATGAGAATTGAAGATGAACAAGTTAAGGAAATTATGGTAATGTGGACACAAAATCTTGGATATAATATTAAGCTACAGAAATGGCAAAAGCTGTGGGAAAGAAATATTAAAGTAACATTAGCAACCTCATATAAAGAAAATCTTTATAAAATGTTTTATAGATGGTATCTATCACCAAGTAGATTAGCTAAGGTATTTCCAAATATGTCAAATGGATGTTGGAAATGCAAACATAAACCGGGTACTTTTTATCATATGTAGTGGACGTGTGATAAGGCAAAAAAATACTGGGCTAAAATACATTAATGGCTTGAGGGAATGTTACAAAAACCTTTAATATTTAAACCTGAAGTTTTCTTATTAGGCATTGTACCTGATGTTGTATTTGATGCTTCATGTAATTACTGCAGCGAGGATTGCATTTGCCCAACATTGGAGGAGTGAAGAACCACCTACCAATGAACTGATTTTTAAAAAGATCTTGGACTGTGCCGAAATGGACAGATAAGACTTTGTCTCTGAAGACGAAAGAGGCTACATACTTCTATCAAACTTGGAACTCTTTTCAGTATTGGCTAGAGAAACGGGACGATGCATAGATTTAAATATGTTTATGGATTACTATAAGAAAAAGTATGGGGGGCTGACCCAGTAGGTCTGATGTTTCTGATGATTGATGGTTTTTAGTTTCTTTTTGTTAGTTGGTAGAAAAATAATAATAAAACTTGCTTTAAAAAAAAAAGAGAATCCCTAATGTAAAGTTATATTAAATAGCTAATCAATTGAGGCACCAGATATTATATTACAACTCAATACGTTAAAAATAGAATCTTCCCAATTAGAAGGATCCTTGATGGATCTTATTTTTAAAATATGAAAATAAAAATATTAAAAAGGTAGAAAATCATTTCCTTAAAAATACATTACAAATCTGAAACAAGTATAAGGAAAAAATTATGCCATCAATCTCACCATTATGCCCAATTACTGAATTAGAAGGGAGATTTTAGGGAAATATTAAGGAATAAACAAACAGATGAAAAGATTGGCTAGCAAAAAAGAATAAACAAAGAGAGTTAAAAGCAATATTGAATAAGAAGAAAATAACTTGGTATAATTCAGTTAGAAAGCTGGACTAAAGAATGGATAAGGAAAGAGATAGATGCAGGGATTGTAAAAAAAAAATGAAAATATTATAGAAAAGGACTACCTGAAGGAATGTCTCCTCCCATATAAGCCCTCACACCCTTTATGATTGGCGGGGGAGTCCTTCCTCTGGGAACCCTCTCTGAAGGAAGTATGGAGGAGGGCCTTCTCTGCAGAGGTGCCCAGACTATGGAATCTGCTCCCCAGAGAGGTCCAACATTATATTCTTTGCAGCGCCAGGTGAAGATCTTTTTATTCGATCATTATTTTAACAATTAATGCTTTTAGATGTTTTAGGATTTTTTTTGTTTCCCTTTCACAGTCATGTTTTCTATAGTGATGTGTTTTATATTGTTTTAATAATTAATGTTTTATAGTTTTATATTTATCGCCAAAGAATTGAGGCCTTTAAATTGTGGTGCTGGAGAAGACTCCCGCGAGTCCCTTGGACTGCAAGGAGATCAAACCAGTCAGTCCTAGAGGAGATCAACCCTGACTGCTCTTTAGAAGGCCAGATACTGAAGATGAAACTCCAATACTTTGGCCACCTAATGAGAAGGAAGGACTCCCTGGAGAAGAGCCTAATGCTGGGATCAATTGACAGCAAAAGAAGGGGATGGCAGAGAATGAGGTGGCTAGATGGAGTCACTGAAGCAGTTGGTGTGAGCTTAAGTGGACTCCGGGGGATGGCGGAGGACAGGAAGGCCTGGAGGAGCGTTGTCCATGAGGTTGCAATGGGTCGGACACGACTAACTTCACGACTAACAACAACATATTTATTGTACTTTATATATCTTGTAAGCCGTCCTGAGCACTTTAAGTGATAGGAAGGGGTATAAATGTAATGAATGAATGAATGAAAATACATGGATGAAAGGGATAGTAAGTACAATTTATAAGATATTACTAGAAGAACAGAATCAGTATAATTCACTTAAAGCAACATGGGAAACAGATTTGAGAAAGAATATCAGTAATGAAGATTGGGAAAATAATCGGACAAAGAGGATATTAAAATGTGTATCAGTAAGAATAAAGGAAAATTACTACAAAATTGTATGGAAATGGCACCTAACTCCAGTGAAGTTGAATTGTACAGGTAAATTGCATAAATTGGAGTATTTGTTATTTTAGAGATGTGGTTGTGAAGTGGGTACATATTTTATAGGTGGTGGGAATGAGAATACATAATAAAATTTTGGAAAGAGGTTTATAAAGATTATAGTAAAATATTAAGTCTAAATATAGATATATGCCCTGAAATTGAATTACTTTCAATATTTTGATTTAAAAATGCTGCTGGAATAGCAAAGAATTTCTAACAAATTTAATAACTCCAATAAGATTAATTATAGATAAGAACTGGAAAATAAAAATGAATACTAATTGTCTGATCGGTTTACAGAAGTTTGGAATATAGCTATTAACAACAAATTAACATGTAATATTAAAATGAGAAAAGGACATATTAAGTAAAACAAGTTTAATGGTACTTGGGATGTATTTATTGAGTATGTCTTAAACGGAGGGAAAAATTTGAGCCGAATGTCCTGAAATGTTTGAATATCTTTTTTTTAAAAAACTTGTAATATGTATCATTGGTCTTGGTGGTGGGTGGCACTGTATTATGAAATAATTTACTTGTATTCTTAATTTTATATGTTTTTGGTTTTCAATGTTGTGGGTTTTTTAGTTGCATTTTAGATTGAAAATCATTTAAACAATTTTTTAAAAGTTTTATCAACAGCTAGAAATAGTTGAACCAAAATATCTGATAAGGAAAAAAAAAGAATAGAGTGGTTTAAATGTTATATTCAAGAACACTTCAATGCTTTAATTGATTATTAATTTCACCGAAATATCCATAAATACTTTCAAACATTACAGCCTAAGGTTTCCCTCAGGTCATTCAGGTTTTCAGTATAAACATGAAAGCATTAAAAAGAAACACTGCACTGGGGATGCTGGGATGTTCTTCCATAGAGGGCAAGCCATTCCTTCTACTCCAGAACCCACAGGAAGAAAAACAAGATTAGAGCTGCAGTTTGGGAGGTGCTTTGGGAAATAAGTTCCTAAATGACTTGTAGCTGCTCAATTTAAAAAAATGTTTTAAATTTTGTACTGTTTTACTGTACTATATAAATTGCTGTTAACCACACGGAGAGCTCTGGGTGATACAGGAATGCAATTAAAACTGTTCATACTAGCATTTGCATGCCTGAAGAGCAAATGCACACACTTCCTAGAGGTAGTCATCTGAAAATAAGTGAATTCCAGCTTTATTTTAGGTTTGAATTGTTTTGTATCTCATCATGTTACTAATGCATTTTTATGAAAATAATGCATAATGAACATTTTCCATGGAAAAATACAGTGGTTACTAATGTTTGGAATAGCTAAAATTTGGAACAGAAACATAGTAACCTTAAATAAAATAAAATAACTCTAAATAGAATAACTTAAAATTGTCGACTATTTTCTTATATTAAACTCATGAAAATTTCCAACACTTATAAAGGGTGAATGAAGGACTGATAAGGTGGTCTCTAATAAATCATGAAGCATTTCTAAATATCTGGAGAGTATTTGAAAATACTTCAAAAGCAATATATCACAGCATTTCTCAGGTCTACCTTGCAAGGGTCCTTAAAATGTTTTGAAATCTTTCTCCATAATTTACCTCTTCAAATGGTTTCCTGCATTTGAACCAACAAGGTTTCCAACAGATCTTCAAGCACAGACCTGAATATAGCCCACTGCAGTAGTCAAGTCTGGATATAATACATAACTTTGTACAGACCAGTTCTGTCCACAAGTGGTTCACATTTGCAGCACAAACCTAAGCTGGTGAAAAACTTTTGATGGAATCCAAAAGCAGGGCTGGATCTAACAATAGTCTACTATCAAAAGCAGATTGAACCCCACCTTCTTGAATGGATGGATCACCTACCAGCAAAATCTTCATTTTGCCTGCGCCGAGTTCCCTCAACCAGCCCTTTATATGAAACACTTTCCCTCCACCTGACTCCAATGAGGAAAAAAATAGAGCTTGATGTCATTAGCTTTCTGTAATGCATTGACAAACCCAGTTTTCAGAGACTTTGGATGACTTTAGGTGGTTTCATGCACATGTACAAATGCATGTGACTGAGGCAGAGATATCATGTAGAGTTTTCCAGCACCACTTTTTGGAACCTGGTTCCAGATAGAAGTGAAAATACTACGGCACTATGCCTGGCCCCAAATAGCCCTGAAGAGTTAGTAGGGCCACACATCTCCTGTGCTTATCCCAGTTCAAGTCATCCACCAGGGTGAACAAAGCAGTTCCAGCATTTGCTGAAACCCAAAGGTCAAAGTTATCAAAGTTCCTTGCTACTTGATCTCCATCAAGAGAAATAACTTATTGGGTAGATTAGAAATGCAGTAAATAAATATTTGTAAATAAGTCACAGCAGGCTTTCAAGGGTTCCCAAAGGCCACCCTGGGACTCTATCTGAAGATGCCCCTAACCACATAAACAAACAGAGCTCCTCAGAGAAGCAAACACTGAAGACACAATGGCAGCAGGAAAGGTAGGTAGGCTAGTTTCTAGAGCCTTCCATCCAAAAGGTTAATCTGGATTCCAAGTTTGGTCTAACATAACTGAGCTTGTAGCTATCAATACAATGAGGTTCATTTATTAAAATCATATGAAAGAATAACTTACTTGTATAGTCGCTGAGTGTGTAGAGGACAGTGATAAGATTGTCTAAACAAGGCCAATGATCTGGATTGCATGACAGACCTTCTTCAAAAGCATGCCGCGCCAGGGGCAGGCGGGTAAGCCTAAGTGCCACATGACCAATTTTATACCACAGGTTGACATCGGTGGAGTCTAGCATCACCGCCTAGAAAGCACAATACAGTTTGCTTGACACACACATATAGTGCTAAGTTGCACCAACTAAATCTGGTCGTTGGAACAACAGTTTAGTGCGGGGTGGGCAACCTGCAACCTACAGTCTCATTTCCAAAGCTCCACACAAGCAGTCAGTCCAGACCTCTGGCACAAGGGATCTGTCCCCTTCCCAGCAGCCTGCTCAGTGGAGAGGAAAAGTGGGAGCAGGAAGAGAGTGAAGGAGTGAGCCACTTTTGGCCCTGTCCACTGTCAGCATGCAGTCCCCAACTGAGTAAACCACAGGGGACATGATGCTTGACAGAAAAACGCTATGCACCCCTGCTCTAGTGCAGTGTCAAATAGTTCCAGAGTGCACCAAGTGTGCTTAACACTCTATTTCTAATAAGCCATATGTCAGGATTTTCACTGTAACCACAGAAATTAATGAGAAGAACTAGAACTACAGGAAGCCAGAATCCAGCTGAACATCAAGAACAACTTCCTGACCGTTCGAGCAATAAGGCAATAGAACCAATGTCCTCTGGAGGTTGCGGGCCCTCCCACATTGAAGATGTTCAAGATGCAGCTGGACAGCCATCTGTCAGAGATACTTTAACTTGGAGTCCTGCAATGAGCTTGACTCCATGGCCAACTTGTCCGGTTCAATTCTATTCTATTATTCTAAATGTTCATTCAATTTATATCCTGTCTTTTTTCCTCTTGCAGAGCAACTAAGGCAGCTTACATAGCACCATTTTACCCTAAAAGCAATCCTATGAGATAGATTAGGGTGTGACTGACTGACAGACCCAAAGTTATCCAGTGAGCTTAATGAACTGAGTAGGGAGTACAACCCAGATCTCCTAGGTACCCAGTCCAACACTCAAACCACCATACCACACTGGATCTCAAAATAAGTTTTAGATTTTCAAAACCAATTATCATACTCCTTTAGGAATACATACATGAATTGTGCTTAAACATGTTTATCAGGGCCTCCAGATTGAGAAATTTATGAGATTTGGGATAGACAGATGGACTGTCTCATGAATTAGGGCATGGCTGACTGACCACAAGCAGAGGGTGACAAGCAGGGAATCATCAGGATGACAACCAATGATGAGCAGCATCCACCAGGGCTCAGTTCTGGGACTGATTCTGTTCAATCTTTTTATCAATGACCTGGAGGAGGGAGTAACCAGTCTGCTGAACAAATTCACAGATGGTACCAAAGTGGAGGTGGTGGCCACAACTGTGGAGTAGGTATTCTAGATCCAAAAGCATCTGGAGGGACTGTATGATAATAATTAATAATAATCAGTAAGTGGGCAGGGGACAACTGAATGGCATTCAATGTGGCTAAGTCCAAGGTCTTACACTTGGGAGACAGGAATACATGCCATAGGTATAGGATGGGAGACAAATGGCTGGAGAGCAGCAGTTAGGAAAGGGATCTCGGGGTACTTGTCAATAGCAGGTTAAACATGAGCCAGCAGTGTGACATAGTGGCTAAGAAGGCGAATGCTACCCTTGAATGTATAGCCTGAAGTGAGGTGTTCAGATCAAGAGAGGTGTTAGTACCATTCTATAAGACTGCCCAGAATACACAAAAACCTAATCGTTGTGTTACCTACTCAAGAATTGTCAGTTTCTGGCAAGGAGTCAAGGCAATATGGTTAGTTCATGTCCAAAGCTCCAAACCAGGTGGTGGTGCCTGAAAGCATGTTCAATAAACAGGCCAGGAATCCAGATACCGGTTAACATCAGCAAACTTGAGGAACACAGATAATGCCACTTATTGTTTGCAACAGAGAGCAGCTCTGCCTGAACTAATTTATGGTCAGCTATAACTCAGCACAGTTGGCTAATTAAGTCAGTGTGCTGTTTCACAGACAACTGCTCTTTCAGAGTGGCAAAATCAATTAATTATGTAAACAGAAGACCATTTGAAGAATTTAATGACAAATGGAAATCCTCTTATACTCAGTACAATTAATGGGGTGTAAAAGGTGGTTCTTTAAAAAATAGTTGAGGATCTATAATTGACTTAAAGCAACTGGAAAATTTGTTGGTGTACAGAATAACAACTCCCTCTTTTCTGAACTTCCATAGAGTGCCAAAAGATAGATATTTTCGGTCTCTTTGAAATTTGTGGGCTTGAAAGTATTGATTATACTTGTTTAAAATACCTTGACAACTTTATTCTATTTTACTTTATTTTACATATACTTTTCTCCTTTTTTGTATCCTGTTTATGTTAAGAAAATGTGTTTGGATTTCTGTCGAAGCTGAAGCCATGCACTCCTTCTACTTTGTATGTGATGAACTCCTTCTCTCTCTGGCTCCTGCTTTGGGGAACCACAGGGGGTGTCCCTAAAGGTCCTGGCTCCTTTTCTTCTAATGGAGGGCAGTCATCTGCAGCCACCACCCCATGTCTGATTGTGGCTGGGGCTCACTGCCCTGGCTTTCTTTGTCTGCGGAATTCTCCTCTAGGTAGGATATGACAAAGACTATGTTGTGTTCACAGCTAGAGTACTGTGTTCAATTCTGGGCTCCACCCTGTAAGAGAGACATAGCTAGGCTAGAATCAGTTCAGCATAGCAACACAGGGATGGTAGCTGGATTGGGGAGGGATAACATATAAAATGCAATTGAGGAAGCTGAATCTATTCAGTCTAAGGACACTCAAAGGGGATATGAAGGGGTTCTCCACACAGTAGAGGATCGTGACCTGTTCTCCCCTCCAGTGGAGGAATGGACATGGTCCAATGGCGCAAAGCTCAAGGAACCAGGTTTCAGGTTGTATGTCAGCAAGTATTTCTGGACGGTCAGGGCCCCTAGGATATAGAATGGGCTTCCACAAGAGGTGGCTGGGTCCCCATCAGCGAAGGTGTTCAAGGAAAGACTGGACAAGCACATGTTGGGTATTACATGAGCAGAGCTGACTGGGACCGGGGGTCAGACTAGATGGACCAAGAGACCCCATCTGACTCACTATGTTTCTGTGTTTACATGCTACCTAACTACTCATCTGTTCTGTTCTATAGACAGTAATTCTATAGCTGTACAGACAGTGAATGAGAAATATAGTAGGGGCAAATGACGTAAAAGTGGGGCATAGCTATGGCTGGTTTTGTCAGGAATGAAAACAAGCAAGCAATGTATGAGGGGACACACCATGAGATAACTGCATCTTTGCTATGTCATTAGGCACATAACAGAGGGGAACACCTGCCCAAGGGAACATGAAGAAACTAGGTACCTCCAAATAGAACTCCATGGCTGTCTCAAAGTCATCTCGCTGTGCAGCCAGCTGAGCTAAGTTTTTGTAAGTAGAATATTTCAGCATTAAGCCTGGATGTTTTAATCCCTCTCTCTCATCCCCAGATGGAACTGCCTGAAAAATGTTAAGGAACAGTAACAATATGGAGATAGAGACTTCTTTGATAATGAAGTACAATTAAAAACTCACCAAATAACATAAATTGTTCAAAACCACCAAAAGGCAAAAGGATATACCATTGTAAACTACAAACAAGTACCAACTGTTATGCGTGTGCATTCTGGCAAGATTCCCAGGCTTGCATGAGAAGCTGACCATTTTGGCAGGACTGACAGCTCATATTATGAGAATGAGATGTATGAAGGGGAGTTGGCCTATCCTGGAAAGGCTAACAGCTTGGGCTTTGATAACAAGAGGGTTGCTGAGCTCAATTCCAGCTGCAATCCAAGGCCCTGGGTACCCACCTGGGCCTGCTAGGTTCAAGGGCAGCTGAGGGCCCAGTCAACATGCTCTTGGGAACAAAGAAGAGCAAAAACATTCTGAGGGGGGAGTTTTAAAGATGGGAAGTCTATCAGATGGAGAACTCCAGCCTCCTGGGGAGCTGGACCTGATAGTCTGTCGTCACAGTCAGAGGGTGGCCCAACTGGGGTCCTAGAGGGAGGAACACAGGCTTGCCCAGTTCCACAGCACTCCTCTTTCCAAAGACAGGCACAGAAGGATTCATAAGCACAGCTCTGGGTGACAGGGACCAGAGAAGGTGAAACATTTCACGTGTATGCTCAGAGACATTTGGCAAAGAAGCACTGGTGAGTGTTACTTTTGGGAGAGAGTATTCCGTTCACACCACCAATCAGGCTGGGTGGAAGGCAGAGCAAGATCTATTCCCTTTAAAGGACCCCAAAGGACAGTCAGGTTGCCTACCTGTAACTGTGATTTTTTGAGTGGTCACCTATGCATTCACACATATGGGTGCTGCACCTGCTTATGTTGAGGGAGATTCTTCTAGCTAAGCCTAGAGATTTTGGCGGAAGCCCCTCTTCCCCCGCTATATAATTAAGTGGGCTCCTACCATTTTCTCAGTCCATTTGGAGACCAACATTTGCCCTCTTCAGACCCTAACTTTCCTACTGCTAGGTGAAGGGCAGGTAAGAAAAAAGACCACCGATATCAACATAGGGCTGGCAGGGGGGTTGTGAAAATGCACAGATGACCATTTGAAGAACAACAGTTATAGGTAGGCAATCTGACTTTCTTCTTCGTGGTCTCTGTGCATCACACATATGGGTGACTAGCAAGCTTACCAATGAAAGGTGTTGGGGGGGTGTCATCACTGAAGGGTGGACGACCGGTCCTGAAGAAAGCGTCACTGGATCCAGAGATGGCCACTAACTATAGACCTGTGGCCAACATCCCGTTTCTGGGCAAGGTGTTGGAGCGAGTGGTGGCGGGACAACTCCAAGCACTCTTGGATGAAACTGATTATCTGGATCCTTTTCAGTCCGGCTTCAGACCTGGGTACAGTACTGAATCTGCCTTGGTCGCCCTGTACGATGACCTGTGCAGGGAGAAGGACAGGGGGAGTGCATCCCTGTTGGTTCTTCTGGACCTCTTGGCGGCTTTCGATACCATCGACCATGGTATCCTTCTGGATAGGCTAGCGGGATTGGGAGTTGGAGGCACTGCTTTGCAGTGGTTCCGCTCCTATCTCAACGGTCGATTCCAGAAGGTTGTGCTGGGGGACCATGTCTCTGCGCCATGGCAGCTATGCCATGGAGTACCACAGGGTTCCATTCTATCCCCTCTGCTATTTAACATCTATATGAAACCGCTGGGAGAGGTCATCAGGAGGTGTGGGCTGCAGAATCACCAATACGCTGATGATACCCAGCTCTACCTCTCATTTTCCACTAATCCAGGTGAGGCAGTGGCTGTGCTGAACCGGTGCTTGGCCGAGGTAATGGAATGGATGAGGGCCAATAAACTGAAACTCAACCCAGACAAGACGGAGGTCCTGTTGGTTGGCGGATCGGGCTTCGGAGAGGGTGGAGTTGACCTGGTCCTGAATGGTGCAACACTCCCTCTTAGGGATAAGGTCCGCAGCTTAGGAGTACTCCTCGACCCGGAGCTTTCTTTGGAAGCTCAGGTGACAGTGGTGGCGAGGAGCGCCTTCCTTCAGCTTCGGCTGATTAATCAGCTGCGCCCCTACCTGGAGTTCGACTGCCTGGCGATGGTGACACACGCGCTGATGACTTCCCGCCTAGACTTCTGTAACGCACTTTACGTGGGGCTTCCCCTGAAGACGGTCCGAATACTTCAATTGGTGCAAAATAGAGCTGCCAGGTTGCTGACGGGGATGGGGCGTTATGCTCACATGACTCCAGTCCTCCGTCAGCTTCACTGGCTGCCCATTGAAGCCCGGGCCCAATTCAAGGTGTTGATTATGACCTATAAAGCCCTAAACGGCTTGGGTCCGGGCTACCTGAACGAGCGCTTACGTCCGTATATGCCCGACCGCCCTTTGAGATCTGCGGGAGAGTCCCTTCTCCGGGAACCCTCCATGAAAGAAATTAGGAGAGTAAGTACTCGGAGGAGGGCTTTCTCTGCGGTGGCGCCCAACCTATGGAATTCACTCCCCAAAGAGGTCCGCCTGGCACCGTCGTTACTGGTTTTTTGGCGCCAGGTAAAGACCTTTTTATTTAAACATCATTTTAATTGTTAAAATATATGATCTGGCCAGGGCAACTTCTTCTTCCTTCTCTTTTCTCCTCCTATATTATTTATTTACTTATTTTATACTGTTATTTTTAATTTTATATTATTATGTTTGAAACTCAGTGTATTGTTTGTATTTTTATATTTAATGGTAATTTATTATGTTCTATTGTATTTGAATGTATTTTATTGTGTTGTAAGCCACCTCGAGGCTTCGGCAAGGGGCGGCATAGAAATGTAATAATAATAATAATAATAATAATAATAATAATAATAATAATAATAAATGATACAATAGCATGGCCAAAGGAACAGTCTTGTCTGGCCTGTTTATCAAGCCAGTAATAGTGGACAAATGTGGATGGTGTAAATGGTATACCTGCATGTAAAGCAGTTGATTCATTCTCTTCCTGGGTTTTGGGTCAGTCTGGCAAGTCCAGGTTTGCTAACTGGTACACTAGCTTAATTGTCTCGACAATCCAGTACACTAGGCATTGTGGACCAATCGGCTTGTCACTGGAATGGTCTACATATCTGATACATAGATGTTTAGACTTCCAGATCGATTCTGTATGGGTTTGATAAAATACTCTTTGGACATCTAATGTGTGAAGAGACCTTTTCATGTTTGTAGACAGAGTTGAACAGAATGCTGGAAGCACTAGTTCTTGATTTAAGGTAGAAAAGGCCTTAGAGAGGAAGGCAGGATCCATATGGAGGACCACCTCGTCATTATGAAACGTCAGATACGGAGGGTCTATCCGGTAAAGACCTTTTTATTTAAACGTCACTTTAATTGTTAACAATATTTACTTATTTATCTGGCCAGGGCGACTTCTTTTCTTTTATAACTTTTCTAACTTCTTTTATATCGTTTATATTTTTTATTTATTTTATATTATTAATTTTAATTTTATATTGTTATTTTTGTATTGTATTGTATTTTATTGTGTTGTA